ACCCTATTTGACGATATTTTTTGTTGGGATCGTTAAGCGAATGTAGTCGTTAAGTGGACCCATTGTCTGCAATGAGCATTTTTTTTTTTGCCAGAAACCTGAAGTAAACACCGGTTCCCAGCCCCTCCCCCCCAAAACAAAACATAAATCATGGTCACATGACTGCAGGATGCTGCAAATGGTTATTGTGGGCAGAGGCAGAAAACGTTCCAAATGTGATCACGTAACTGGAGAAGAAGGGCAGTAGTCACAGGAACCTTTTGGGGGTCCGTTGGTAACTTTGAACAATCGCTAAGCGACCAATCATAAGTAGAGGACTACCCTGTCTTAGCTATAGAGGATTATTATTCTTCATCGGGGGGAGAGGGAGGAAACTATAGAAAAAGGGTGTCAATCCAAGATGTGGCTGTGAATAATTAAGAGCATGAAATAAGAAAATACTCCAGGAGCATTAATTGTTAGAACAATTAACCAGTGGAACAACCTGCCTTCAGAAGCGGTGAATGCTCCAACACTGGTAGTTTTTAAGAAGTGACTAGGCAGCCATTTGTCTGAAATGGTATAGGGTTTCCTACCTGAGCAGAGGGTTGGACTAGATGACCTCCAAGGTCCCTTCCAATTTCTTCTTACTATTATTGAGACCCAAATGGGTTCTCCTATGTCTCCCCCTCCTGCTTTGCCCTGGCTTCAAAGCCAATGACGGTGTAGGGCTTCTACCCCACCCGCTCTTTGATTCTCCCTTCTCTAGGATGCCCCCCCACACAAACACACATACACACACACCAAACCACATACTTTCATTGATTTGCCTTCTCTCTTGCATTTGGGACATTCCCAGCAGTTTGGAATTTCATTGTTGATGACCCCTTCAGCGACTCCCATCTGCAAAGAGAAAGACCAGTGCAGGTGAAGGGAGCGGGTGAGAGACTCCTGAGAGGGGCCGCAATTATGTAGTGCAGACATGTCAAACACAAGGCCTGGGGGCCGGATGCGGCCCGCGAAGTGGTTTCATGTGGCCCCCAAAGCCATCCTGGAAACAGTGAAGGAACGGCTCCCACTGCCTTGGCCCCGGCCCAGGCCTCCCGGGAGCCAATGTACAATTTTGTGGTGGCCATCTATGCTGAAGCGCATTCGGTCTTAGCTCTACAAGGCCGTCTGGAAACAGCAAGGGACCGGCCCCTGCCGCATTGGCCCCGCCCCCTGGGTGCATGCTGGGGAGGTGTCACCCTTTGTGAGGAATGAAGAAATGCACCATCGCTTGGAAGTGGCCAGCAAATGGCCCTCACCTACTCTTCCAGTGGATCGTGCCTTGGCGCTTGCTCCGGTCCCACCCTCTTCTGCCAGAGACTCTCAGATCTGTCCCACTCCTGCCCAGGCCCCCAACAGGCACCCTTGACACGAACGATGTAGAGGTGGCCATGCCCACCCAGTAGGCCACACCCACTCGTTACGCTTACTCAGTAGGCCACGCCCACCCAGGCCACATCTACCTGTTGATGCGGCCCTCAATGAAATTGAGTTTGACACCCTCTGATGTAGTGGCTCCTCCTCTCACCTTCAAGCAGCCTGGATGCACAATCTCGTTGCAAATGGTACACTCCATGAGTGACAGGTTGAACTTCTCCTCTTCGCCCTCCACGGTGTCCTCTTTCCCGGCCTCCCCACAGACCAGGCACACGGCCGTGTGAGGTAGAACTGGCTGCAAGGAGACGGGAGTCAGACGTTAAGTGATACAAAATCAAGCAGGACAGCTCTTTCTACCCCCTAGTAGACACCCATCGTCTTTGGAAAGTTTCCTGGAGGCAGCCAGAGTCAGGAGAGGCCAGTCTGGACACGGGCTACAAACCCTCCTTTGCCCATTTTTAAAGCAAGGGCCTTCGAACTTGGCCCTTTTTATGACTTGTGGACTTCAACTCCCAGAATTCCTCAGCCAGGCACGCGTGCCTGGCTGAGGAATTCTGGGAGTTGAAGTCCACAAGTCATAAAAAGGGCCAAGTTCGAAGACCCCCGTTTTATAGCAATGGATAAAGCTGCATTTTCAAAGCGGCACTTAAAACATTACAAATTCAAAAGGAAGTGTCCCAAACAGGGTGCTTCCAGCTTAACATATTTTCAGTGTGAAACATTTCACACCTCTTTGCTTTTAAAATATGGGGCTCAGCCATGGGAAGAAATAGGACAAGATGGAGAAAAGAAGACAGGAGGGGCTCACAGCAGCCTAGTGGATGAAACGTGACTTCAGTCACACAGGTACCAGAGAGCTCCACACCTGATTTTTCAAAACAACTTCAAACATGGAGAAAAGACCTTGGATGACTCAGTTTCTGGGCTGCACCGTGTCAGAAAAGGGGAATTGTATGTGGGAATGTTCAACAAAGAAATGGCCGCAAGCAGAAAGCTAACATATGAACTGGGCCGCCACCCTTAACATTCTAGCTTTTTCGACCCAATATGGATAGTTTAATTTATTTTGCACAGTACATCTCTTATTTTCCTCTGTTTTTACTTGCAGATTTGAAAGATGGAGAAAAAGCTAAGGATTCGCAAGATTAAACCACATCAGTCTGCAGACAAGAACTAAATGGAAAAACCACTAGGGTCAAGAAGACTAGTTGAAACTCTTTGGGCAAATTAACTTTCCATGAACTTTAAAGCTTTTTTTTTTTTTAAACCCACTGAGAAATATATGCAAACCCTAGAATCGGGATCCTGAATACAGTTTAAGGGTGAAATATGCATTCTTTTCCTTTTTATTTAAGCTGTCGGGAGAGCTGGAGGCAAAACACGCGCCTCTGTTTCTTTTCTATTCCAATTTGACGATTCGGGGATATTTAGAAGAGGCACAGCAGACCTGGAGCACATCAACAGGATGAGGAATCTGTGCCCTACAACAACTCGCCACGGCCAAACTCAATGCAGGACCACTTGCCATGGCCAACTTGCCGTGGGACAAGAGTGTCACTAATATTGAAGAAATAGTGGAATAGAATCATTCAAGAAAGGATGTCAAAGCGGGGACAAAATGAAACATGAATGACAAAAATTAAAATCATTTTTTAAATTATTTTAAATAATTGAACTGAATTATATAATAGTAGTAGTAGTAGTAGTAGTAGTAGTAGTAGTAGTAGTAGTAGTAGTAGTAAAGTTGGAAGGGACCTTGGAAATCATCGAGTCCAACCCCCTGCTCAGGCAGGAAACCCTATACCATTTCAGACAAATGGCTGTCCAGTCTCTTCTTAAAAACTTCCAGTGTTGGAGCATTCAGCGCTTCTGGAGCCAGGTTGTTCCACTGGTTAATTGTTCTAACTGTCAGGAAGTTTCTCCTTAGTTCAAGGTTGCTTCTCTCCTTGATTAGTTTCCACCCGTTGCTTCTTGTCCTGCCTTCAGGTGCTTTGGAGAATAGCTTGACTCCCTCTTCTTTGGGGCAGCCCCTGAGATATTGGAACACTGCTATCATGTCCCCCCTTGTCCTTCTCTTCGTTAAACTCTAGACATACCCAATTGTCCCGCAACAAGTTGGCCACGTCGAGTTGTCCCACAGTGAGTTGGCCCTAGGCAGGAGTAAAAAAGCCAGACTTTGCACATGCAACAGAAACCCGTGACACGGGTGACCGTCAGCGTCGGCTGCCCTGCCTCTCTCACTCACCGCTGTGCACTGCCTCTGCAGGCAGGACTGCTTCATGCGTCCAGGACCCCCAAACTTCTTCATGTCCTTACAGAAATGGCACTCCCCACACTCTGATCGCAGGCACGCTTTACACTTCCGGCACCGCGTCCGCCGCCGGCGAGCTCCAGCCCCTGCCCCTTTGCTGGACGACATTGGCTATGTCCCGCTTCAGCTACTCTCTGGGCTGCAAGGAGGAAAGGCAAAAGAAGAGGCAAACGAGGCAGGTAAATAGGGGGGTCCAGATCGGCAAGGTGAAATTGGCAATGAAGACTGGGGGGGGGGGAGAGAAGGACGTGCAATACAAAGGAATCGAGATTTTCATATAAAAGTAGCCCTTGATTTACAACAGTTCGTTTAGTGATCGTTCACGGAAACAGTTGACTTATGACCATTTTTCACACTTATGACTATTGTAGCATCCCCTTGGTCAGGGGTAGGCCACCTTGGCTCTTTTATGACTCGTGGACTTCAACTCCCAGAATTCCTGAGCCAGCATGGCTCAGCTTGGAAACCTCTCCCTTTCCCTCAGCATGGCTGGCTCAGGAATTCTGGGAGTTGAAATCCACGAGTCATAAAAAAGCCAAGATTGCCTACCCTTGCCCTTGGTCCTGTGATCAGAATTCAGATGCTTGGCAACTGATTCATATTTATGACAGTTGTAGCGTCCCGGGGTCATGTGATCATCCTTTTGTGACCAGATTCACTTAACAACCATTCTACTAACTTAACAAGTCCAGTGATTCACTTAACAACCGTGGCAAGAAAGGTGGTAAAATGGGGCCAAATTCACTTAACAAATGCTTTGCTTAGCCACCGAAATTCTGGGGCTCAATTATGGCCATAAGTTGAGGACTACCTGTATATGCATTATGGAGAAAAAGAAAACACATTGCAAGGAGAAACATGTCCTGCAATCAAAGGCACACATGATCAGCCATCACCAACGTTGGGCAAGGGGAAAAAAAAAAAAATTAAGCCCAGCAAAACGAATTTGAGTTCAGAAATACTGCATCTCTTTTTGATTTAAGAGAAGGGTTTAAAATCAGTAGTACAAATAGTTCGCAACCTATGACTACAATTGACCCCAATTTTTATGTTTGGTGAAAATTTAAGTCAGTTTTGTCCTCTTTTACGACATTTCTTGCCACAGTTGTTAAGTGAATCACTGCAGTTGACATATTAATAACCTGGTTGTTAGGTGACTCTGGCATTCCCGTTGATTTTGCTTGTCAGGTCACAAAAGGGGATCACATAACTCTGGGACACTGCGACCATCACAAATACATGCCAGTTGCCAAGTGTCCGAATTTTGATCACGTGACCATGGGGAAGGTGCAACAGTCGTTAAGTGTGAAAAGCAGTCATAAGTACGAACCAGTTGCCAAGCATCTGAATTTTGATCACAAGATCATGGGGATGCTGCAAAGATTATAACTATGAAAAGTGGTCATAAAAAACTTTTTTCAGTGCCGTTGTAACTTTGAAGTCACTAAACGGACTGTTGTAATTCGAGGACTATCAGTACATTCCCAAGCAAAATAGATGAGATGATATTACCGAGCACACTGATCAAAGGACCTCCGTTCTATGAAAAAAGAGCCAAATCTAGGGAATATGGAGTTGGATTTTGTTCTAGCAGGGCCATCCAACACAATTTTCAAGTGTCATTCTCAAGTTTTCAATTGATCATAGATCAGTGTTTCTCAACCTTGACAATTTTAAGGCATGTGGACTTCAACTCCCAGAATTCCACAGCCAGCAACGCTGGCTGTGGAATTCTGGGAGTTGAAGTCCACATGCCTTAAAATTGTCAAGGTTGAGAAGCACTGTCATAGGTCATGAGTTGTCCACTGCCTGTGTGAAGACTGAGGGTTATGCAGAGAGCTCAGAGGCAGGGACTATTGGAAAGCAAAGCAGAATTTCTCTGCTACCTCAACCTTGGATAATTTAGGACAATGTTTCTCAACCTTGGCAGCCTGAAAACATCTGGCTGGGGAATTCTGAAAGGTGGAAATCCACATATCTATAAGTTGCCAAGTGTGAGAAACACTGGTTTAGGAGCTAGCTTGGTGAAACTCCTGCCTCTTTAAAAAACACTGCTTTAATCCAGAGTTTTTCAACCTTGGCAACTTTAAGATGCGTGGAGGTCAACTCCGAGAATTCCCTAGTCTGAAGGTCATACATCTTAAGGTTGCCAAGTTTGAATAACAGTGAATTAATCGAAGAGCTGAATAGGCTCTCCTTATACCGCTACATACAACAATGCTTATTCAGTTCTGCAACAGGAGAAATTACCCAAACTCACTGGAAGAAGCTCTCAACGTGCACAGAGAAACACTTTTCCTCTCAAGAACATTAAAACTTTTGCATGTTCCTAAAAAATCTAGTTGGCTGTCAGGGATAAACTATTTTGCTAGAACAGGAAAAAAAAATGATTTTTTTTTATAATCGCCTAATTTCCAAGACATTTTCTCTACTAGGGTATAGCTAAAATCAAAGGAAAATCTTAACTACATCATGGTTACAAACATGGCAAAAAGTAAAAATAGATTTTTGACAGGTATTGTGCAAGTTCTGTTCTCCAAGATGAACATATCATGGCAACTGCTGCTTTCCAGGTGAGGTGAATAAAATCCAATCGTGTTTTTTCCAAAAACATTTATACAGTTAGTCCTCGGCTTATGACAACTGAGCCCAAAATTTCTGTTAAGCAAGACAGTTGTTAAGTGAATTTTGCCCCATTTTATGACCTTTCCTGCCACAGCGGTTAAGTTAATGCCTGCAGGTATTAAATTACTAACACAGTTGCTAAGTGAATCTGGCTTCCCCACTGACATTGCTTGTCAGAAGGTCACAAAAGCTGACCACATGAGCCCAGGACACTGCGACCGTCATAAATATGAACCAGTCTTAAGGGCATATGATGCACACAACCATTCGTATTTGGTTCTGACAGCCCCTTAGGCATAGCATTCTGAGCACCATTGTGGGCAAAACATTTGGTGCAACTGTATTATATAACATTGAACATAATCACCTAGAGTCCTGTATATGAAACAATTCATGCCATCATTTTTCACCTTGTTAGGGAGTTCAGAGAGATAAACTCATACAAATTACAGGCGATGTATAATAAAGCTGTAGGTGGTTAAAAAGAAATTGGACTGAATTAAGACTCTTTGAGGGAAATGGACAGCTCAGAAATGTCTGTGTGTGTGAGAGAGGGGGGGGGATCCAATAGATCTATTATGTTAAACCAAATGATAGGGCTCTTTTACTTTTCTGCTGTCTCTTCTCACAATGTAACAAACGTCACCAGGTTTTATAGATATTCGAGGGTGCTCTTAAGACATAGATTCTCACAAACACTGTTTCATGAAAGAAGCCAAAAAGAAGATAGCCCAATTTTTCCCAAGACACAACAAACAGGAAGGAGGTAAAAGAGGAGATAAGAATCTATAAATTAAATAAAAAGAGCTGCTTTTCGTATTGCTTTAGAATAGTTTCGAGATATGCCGATTCTGTTTTGATCTCATTATCCAAAACACGACTCTCAAAAAAAAAATCATACCCCTGACAGCAATTATTTCAATCATATGAGAGCCCATATAAAGAAAGAAAAAAGACTAAATTTGTTGTGCAAATTGAGAAGAGTACTATGATATCCCAGAAATCCCTAGAACCATTTAAAAAAAAAAGTTTTCCAGGAATATAGACATGTCAAATTAGAGGCTTAACAGTGAAACTCAAATAAAAATCAGACACAAAGATGAGATTCATTCTAGCCCACTGTTTCTCAATTGCAGCAAGGTTAAATGTGTGGACTTCAACTCCCAGAATTCCCCAGTCATCATGGCTGGGAGTTGAAGTCCGCGCATATTCGGGATTGAAAAACACTGGTCCAGACTGATTACAAAGACATGAGATCTTGAGTTCTACTTTCGGAAGAAAAAAGTACAGCTGAAAAGGTGAAAGTGGAATCGGAGGAAAGGGTCAGGACACTGAGATAGGGCGGACTGGCAAGGACAAGGAAGAAAAAAAACACAACTGGAAATGTTGCAGATCAATCCTCAGTTAGATACCTTGCAGACCTGTCAATCAGAAAGTCTGTGAATTATGGAGTCCAATGGCAAGGCATCTAGAAGGCAAAAACGTCCTCTCTGCCTTTTTTTAAAAAAAAATAATAATAATCGCCTAACAGAAAAGCAATATATTTCTGAGGAATTTCTTTTGGATATTCAGAAAGATAACAGAAGGATGGAATAATGGAAAAACAGAAATTCAGAAGAAAGCAGGCAAAGCAACTTTCTGTTATCAACTGCAACTACTACAAAGGACATACTTACATATAAAAACTGCCACTGATGAGTGTATGGCTTAATAATCTAAGAAAAAAGACATAATTCAGAAGCCTCTCTACCACTATAACTTAGGCCCGTCAAGTGAAGTCTGAATCAAACATCAAAGATTAGTGGTTCTGATTATGACTTTTTCAATCCTATTTTTTACATGAATAACCAACAACATTTAGGTCTTATCACTGCCAACCAATGCTATGAGGCGGACAGGAGAATACAGGATGCCACCAGGTCAGGAAAAAAATTATTTCAGACTTTATGAGAGAGAAAAATACAGTGACCATTTTCAAATCCCAAGCTGCTTTTTCGGGTTCTATTTTTTTAAAAAAAACAAAAACACGCAATTTGGCCCTTTTGATTTTGTCATTTAGCATATGGCATGGCCCTTTGATATTTGACTATGAGAGGGGAAGGGACATTGCAAGAGAATTAACTAAACTGGGGACACATCTCATCTGAGGCTCAGAAATGAAATAAATTCCAGGCTGAGAGGGAAAATAGCGAACTACTAAAATAAAATGCAAATGTTGTGAAGAGGAGATGCCTTCATAAGCTGCATGGGGTCTGCATGTTTATTTTTATTTATTTATTTTTAAAATTTATAAGCCGCCCCACTCCCGAAGGACTCTGGGCGGCTAACAATAAAAAACACATAAAACATAACAAAACAAACAATGCAAAGACAGTCATCCAGGGGTCAGGTTTTATAAACCCCAGGCCTGCCGGAAAAGCCAGGTCTTAAGTAGCTTACAGAAGACCAACAGGGTGGGAGTGGTCCTAATCTCCGGGGGGGGGGGGAGCTGGTTCCAAAGCGTGGGCGCCATCACAGAGAAGGCCCTCCTCCGCGGCCCCGCCAAATGGCACTGCTTGGCTGACGGGGCCTGAAGGAGGCCCAGCCTGTGGGATCTAACTGGACGTAGGGAACTATGAGGTAGTAGGCGGTCTCGCAAATAGCCTGGCCCTGAGCCATATAGGGCTTTAAAGGTAATGACCAACACCTTGAATTGGACCCGGAAACCAATAGGCAACCAGTGCAGCTCACGGAGGATAGGTGCAACGTGGGTGTATCGAGGAGCACCCACTATCACTCGCGCGGCTGCATTCTGGACCAACTGTAGTCTCCGAATACTTTTCAAGGGTAGCCCCATGTAGAGCGCGTTGCAGTAGTCCAGTAGTTCAGTTCAGCAGTATCCCAATAGAGCTGGGAAAACCTAAGAAGGGGAGAGAATGAGGCTCAACGATATCTACAGTGAATAAATAGTTTTCTATTTCTAAAAAATAAAAAAATATCTAAGTGTTTGCTATTCTGAGGATTAACCCAGGAGAGAACAAGTAGGTAGAGGAAGGCACATAAGAGAATCAATGAGGATGAATGACTCTCTCTCTCTCTCTCTCTCTCTCCTGCTTGAGCTCCCCGTATTCATCCTAGCTAACATTTACACACATTCGATGGATGGAACATTTTGTCTCCTGCATCATTTCACCTCACCCCCTCCCTCTTTCTTCCAAGCATTTAAGAGCAGGCAAAAAAAAAAAAAAACCACTGAAAGGGAAAACAAATGTGTGTATAAAGGAACTTGGCTCCGGATACCTCATCACGCCCCAGCCTGGCTTCAGAGCTGACAGGCCCGGTCTTGGCAAGGGTTCCCACACACCTCAACCTGGCCTTCCATGATGCCAGTTGCTGGGTTCCCCCTCAATTCTCTCCGCCAGCTGCAACCAGCTTGACACATCTTTTCTGCTTTCCCTCCCTTCGAAAAGCCTTTAAGTCAAGCTGTTTGGCGGCGGCGATCCTCCTCCGCTCAAATCCTTCTGGATCGCACCGCTTCCTGGCGGACATAACCGGAGCCATCCTCTGTAGAGGCCCCCCTGAAATCGGCTGGAAACGGCACCTCCCCTCTCTTCTCTTCCTTTCCTTCCCCCCCTCCCCGGTTAAAACATGAGAAATACACAGAGGCAAGAGCGTTTTACGGCTGGTAATTCCTTCCCCTGGAAATCATAGAGGAGAAACTTTGGTTCCACGTTTGCCCCCCCCCCCGCGTACCCCAAGCCACACCGCTCTCGTCCCCTCTTCTTGCTATCTCTCAGCTCAAGTCGACCTAGAGGTGACCAGATCCCTTGAAAAAAAAAAAAAAAACACCTGGCAAAATGATACACCCTAATCTTGGTTTCCTATTTTCCCTTTCGCGGAGGAACAACAACAAAAATCTAAACACTCCAGCCCAAGGTGACAGAACAGAAGCTGGAAAGGGAAGAATGTCCAAGAAAACAAAACAACAAAGGAGATTAAAATGAATAAGAAAAACGAGGAAAACAATAGTAGATCAGGCATGGGAGGGGGGGGGGAGAGGAAGGAGAGGCAACAGAAGCTCCAGATTCCACCCTCAGCAAAAAATATTTGTGCAACCAGCCTGATAGCTTAACATCCCTCCCTGGCTTCTGCATCTGAGTTGTTGTGATGCTTTCACATGCTGTGTGCGTTCACCCACAATCTACCATGTATAAATCTATATTTTGGGAAGTGGGTTTGCAAAGCATGGGCAGTCCTACTCAAAACATTGAGCTCCACAGGGTTGGAAGGAGAAGAGCTAATTAATCTGGAATGGGAAGATTAAGGTGGGGGGAGGGTAGGGAGAAAGAATGTGCCCCTAAAAAAAAAAGAGACAGGGGTTTTATTCCTTGAAAAAAAAAACATTATTTGGCAAAGCCAATGGGGGGAGGGGAGGAGGCAGTGGAAGGATACAGACTTACCTTTGGGAAGCGCATCTAGGCACCAAAGACTCTTCCCCGTCCATCAGCAGCCTCCAAGAGAGAAAAGATGCAGCACAGCTTACAATTGTTACACATATCTACACACAACCCAGGCAGACACCAGGAAAAAAGGTGCACAGAGGATGGGAGGAGATTGGAGGCAGGAGCCCCCCTCCCCGATCCTAAAACCCAATGAAAGGCTTGGAAGTAAGGTAGGGGAGATGGGTTACTCACCTGCTGTGTGGCCATGGGGTGGATGGCGATTCTAATGCTGGATTTGTTGTCATGGTGGGAAGTGAGGGTGAGGGGGGGGGAAGAGGGAGAAGAGATCCAGCCAGTTGCTGAAGGATCTGTGTGTGCGTGAGGCTCCGAGTCTTCCCCCCCCCAACCAAATTGAGGAATGGGGAGGAAAAAGGGGAAGAGGGGGCGGGACAATCTCCCCAAAGAGGCTATTATAAATTCATAGCAGCGGTTCCCCCCCCCCCACACACACACCTCTCCCCCCTCTCCAGTTCTATCCTCCACTATTTCCTGCTTTGCCCTTGGGAGAAAACAAGGGAATGATATGTGAGAAAGAGTTCTCCCCCCCTCCCCACCGTGCGGTAATCAGAGAGGGAGCTAACACGCTGTGACACACACACACACACACACCTACTCGGGCACCTCCTGCACCCCTAATTTGGGACAGAGCCTTGGCATTCCCTAGGCGGGTGCACCCTCCAGTCCCCCCAGCCCTCCTGGCTTCCTCCTGACTCCTCCTCCTCTTCTGCCCACCACTGAGATTTTCCTCAGTTGCCTGAACACCCACCCTCCCCTTTTCAAATGCAGGCAGACCACTCCCCTCGCTCTTGCTGGAGGTGGAAGAGGAGGAGGAGGAGGAGGAAGAGGAGGGGGCTCTGCCCCTTCTGGCTTGTTCCTCCAACTACATCTCCCTTCACTTTGCAGCAGGAAGGGGAGGGGGTCTAAAGCTGCGGCCCCCTCCCCAATTATTAGCTCAGCCCGTCCTCCTTTTCAATTAAGGGCTCATCTATGGCATAGCTGGTCCTCCTCCCCAGAAAGAGTCCCCTTCTTTAGCCACCTGGCACCGCGGGTCCCCCTCCAAAGCAATGCCAAGGTTTGGGGGAGGGTCTGTTCACCTTGCGAGACCCTGCGGATTGGGCGGGATGGGGCCCTCTCTGCTCTCCCCCTCCCCGTCCCCCCCCCGAGAGAGGCGGTGGTGCCCCCCTCTGCTCCTTCCCTCAAGGGGGCTCTGCGCTGCCCGGCTGTCCCTCCCCCCACATAAGGGAGGGTTTTAAACGCACCCACCCCCCTCCAGGTTGGCAAATCGGGGAGTGGGCTTCAGACCCCGCCACAACTCCTCCGAGAGGAGAGAGCGAGGCTCCACGGTCCTGGTGGGGCCCCCTTCTCCTGTCTCTCTCATTCTCTCCCTTTCCTCCTCCTCCTCCTCTTTCACATTCACTCACTCACTCACGCATACTGATACACACATCTCACACACATATTCGCATACACACACATACACACAAAACCATCATGGCGGCCCCAGGAAGCCCAAAAGGGAACACTCGCCGCGCGCGGGCAGATGGGAATGGTAGTTTTTTCGACATCCGGCTCTAGGAGCGCTGGGGAGAAATGGGGACTACAGTGAATATGGCAGGCAAAGATTCCGCGCAAGGAAGTATGGGGAGTGTGGTTTTATTTTTCCGGCTCAACGCCTCGTGTGCCTTAGTTGCTATGGCCAAGAGAGGTGTTTTGGACTACAGCTGGAATGGCAGACGGCAGCTGGAACGATACTGCTTCATGGGAAAGGTAGTTTTGCTTACCCATCGTATTCTATTGCGTCTTGCTCTCAAAGGGACGTATTTGGACTACGTGTAAGATGGTCACCAAGCATCATGGGAATGTAGTTCTCTCTTCACGGCCCGTTCCTTCGTATTTTTATATCATTGGTTCCTAAAACCTCAAGAGCACCTGGACTACAATTAATATGGTGGGCGGAGAGGGGGGGGGTAAATTCAGTCGAATGGAATTGTGGGAAGTGGTTTAAAAAACGCTGGCCAGAGTCTCACTTTCAATTGAAATTAATAATTAACTGTGGTTTATTTTAATTAACAATTTACACCCTACACCAATCCACATGTGTAGAACCGCCCCTTTCTGTTTCTATGTCTGAGCATGTGCAGGGTTGTTTTTTTTTACACGGGAAGATATTTGCATTTTTTCTTAAAGAGGAAAGAACTTGCAAGTAGAAATGGATCGGTTGCCAAAGTGAATTCAGAAAAATAAAAATGTAAGGAAAAATATTGGTTTTTAATACCATTACAACATTCCATGTTCTACAATAGAAAGCATAATTCCAACCTGCTAAAAACTCAAATTTATAATGGCCATTTTAATTCGGACTAAGTAATTAATCCATTTAAAAATCATCAAATTATGTTCCAATGGATTTAAACAAGATACAATTCATGAGCAATATTTCAAATACTGAGATAAACATTTCTATTATGAATGGATATTCTGATTACAACTGAATAGCAACATACCAAGAGCTAAAGCCTAAATCTGACAATTTAAGCTTGCTTGTGGCTTGACTATTTCCGTATAAGAGTGTTATTTGTATATCTCAGAATCAGCTGGGAAGCAACATGAAATAGTGAAAAATGTCTGTCTAACATGTTTGTGTGAACATATGTGTGCATATTTGTAGACCTGACATCAAAATGAAACCAATAATGTGCATAAAATGATCTCAAGAAAAGTGATAACTATATAAGTATAGAAAATTTATGGAGTATTCTCCTTTAAGTAGAAATATATCTGAATATTTTGTGTGGATGTTTGTTTTATTATGGCTGGTCACAGTCAGCCTGATGTTTAGACTGGATTTGGCACTTTTGCCCACATATCAAGCCTTTCCCAAGGACCTGGGATAGGCATATGCACTTGTTTAATTGTTTTAAAGATATCATAACACGATGTTGCAAGTAAAGTTGTGTTTTACAACTGACTGATGGTGATTTTGCCAATGCTGATGGTGCTCAGCTGGTGCTCCAGATGTTTTGGGATTGCACCTTTGGTATTATTTTTGCTTTCATTTGCCACAATCATCCTACCTCTTTCTGTGGGTCTTTGTATTTTGAATTCTTCTGCTGCCCCCAGCTACTGTGACATCTACTATTCAGACTTTTCTGTCTTTCTTATTGACATTTGTTGGATCTGGGGTGCTTTATGGTGTTATTATTACTATTTCTTCATAACAATACGATGTTACATTTGACACTTCTTTAGCTGGTAGTTGGTCTTCCTATGCAATGATTTCTTCCCAAAAACCTAGGTTGTCACAATTTATCAATGTGGTGTATCTGTGGATCCAAGCAGTGGCCTATTGCAATTGACAGATGAAAATTTTGTCAATGCAAATTTTTTAAGTACCAGCCAAGAATTTTTTTGGCAATGTGCCAATAACCCTGGGACTACCACATCCAGGTTATGCCATACTATAATACTTCAGTTTCAATTTCCAGATCTTGATACTTTGCAATCTTCTCCAATTCTTCTTTGATTCCCTGGTATTGCCACATCAATTGTCCATACTTTCTTTTCATCCAGTTGTATCTGGTGTGTTTATCATTATTACCATGTGCAGACCTCTAGTTAGTACAGTGTTTTTCAACCTTGACAATTTTAAGGCATGTGGACTTCAACTCCCAGAATTCCACAGCCAGCAATGCTGGCTGTGGAATTCTGGGAGTTGAAGTCCACATGCCTTAAAATTGTCAAGGTTGAGAAACACTGAGTTAGTACATTGAATTTTCTCCCTTGAATCTCATGGAAATAAACCCTAACTAAATGTTGCCTTCTAGTGGTGAAACCTTGTGATTTCCAATGTGAAATCTTTTAAGTTTGAAAGAGCTGCTCCAACCAAGTTGCAAGATTGAATCACCTCTTTTGAATGTGGAACTGAGCTGTTTTGACATTAAAACACTTTTGGACTGTCAAGACCCCATAAGGACAAAACACCCAAGGATATCTTGCACACCACCAATGCCCCCTTCTAATGTTGGCTGGTTCTATGGCTTTCAATATTTCTGTGTTCCTGTCCTTCCCATCTGAGATGCAGCCTGAAAATGTTTTTAGTGCTGATCTTGGTTGTTTATTTGCAGACATTTGTTAGCCAACTAGGGCAGAGTTCCCCAACCCCCGGTCCATGGACCAGTACCAAGGCCACAGCATGCCAGCAACTGATCTGCACAAATAAGCAAAGCCCCATCTGCGGGATGCAGGCAGCACATAAAACCACGCACTTTCCGGTCCACGGAAAAACCTCTCTCCATGGAACCAGTCCCTGGTGCCCAAAAGGTTGGGGACCTCTGAATTAGGGCATCACTGTTATCAGCCACAAACTTCACCTTCGCATTCATGATGTTCCTTAGTTGGGTAATGAAATGTTTGCAGTGCACAATCAAGCTCAGATAGCACCAGGAACTCTACAGTTCCTCTGAGCTATAAATATTCTACCAATAATGTTTAGAACCGGGGTCTTCAAACTTGGCCCTTTTATGACTTGTGGACTTCAGTTCCCAGATTTCCTCAGTCAGCCACACTGGCTGAGGAATTCTGGGAGTTCAAGTCCACAAGTCAAAAAAGGGCCAAGTTTGAAGACCCTTGGTTTAGAAGATGCTTCTTCGTGATCAGGAAAGTAGATAATTCACAATCTCAACTGGGTAAAAAAAGATCAGGAGTCTGCTGGCATCTTTTCCAATGAACACATTTTATTAAGTTGAGTCCACTAAAACCTCTGTCCATTAACAAAATGTCAGAAAAGGTGCTATTCCCTCCAAAGACTAACATAGTTATCTTCCTTCAATGTCTACAACAATGAATACTGAGAGTTGAAATCTGTACATCTTAAGGTCTCCAAGGTTGAGAAACCCTGGCTTATGTGGATATAAGGTGACCAACTTTTTACAATGAAAAGGAGGACACAAATAAATTGAAGAAAAAAATATTGTAAATAAAAGAAACATTTTATTCATTGCAATAATAATACAGACAACTCGCATGTGCAAAGTTTGCCAGCCGGGTGTTTTGGCATGCTCAGCAGCAATTCCTATTGGCTTTTGAAAGTCAATAGTGGGAGTAGCACAGCTCATGCAAAAGTTGAAAAAAAAACATCAAAAAAAGGTGCCGGAACGCCGTTCTGAGCGTTCCATGAGGGGAAAAAAAGCCCTGCAGATTAGTCTTCAAATATCGAAAAGGAGGACATGAAGGAGGACACTTTTTGAGGGAGGACAGAACTTACAAAAGGAGGACCGTCCTCCCTAAAGGAGGACAGTTGGTCACCTTAGTGCAGTGATTCTCAACCTTTCTAATGCTGTGACCCCATAATACAGTTCCCCATGTTGTGGTGACCCCCAAGTGGGTGTGGCCACCAATAAGAGGGAGTAGGACAGCTAGGGAAAAAGGAAAAAAATGGCGGACAGCATGGCTTGGTGACCCCCATGAAATGGTCATTCGACCCCAAATGGGGTCCCGACCCACAGGTTGAGAACCACTTCCTTAGTGGATATCTTGGTCACATGAATCCTGCTGGCACCTTAAGAAATTGGTCCTTATGAAGACGTTCCAATAACCTCCAAAATTTTCAAAAAACACCCAGGAGAATTGGTATCTTTGAAGATTGGTTACCAATATTTGAAACCTGGGTACTATTAACTCAGCGGTTCTCAACGTTTGTGTGACGGCGACCCCCATCACACAAACATTATGTGCATGTGCGGCGGCGCCCCCGGAGGGGAGAAAATGGCGGATCGCCGCCTTTGGCGACCCCCGAAAAATGGTCGATCGACCCCAAATGGGTTCGCGACCCATAGGTTGAGAACCACTGTATTAACTGCACAGAGTCCTAATTCAGTTGACCATTACTAATCTCCCTTCTTCTTTGCTGCATTCATACGGTTGGTAGACAGGTCTGTTCTCTTAATTTTCCAGGGCGTCATCAGATAATCACGGGCATGGTATTTCTTGGGATAGGTAGGAAAGATTCAAAGCATGCTAAAACTGAAAGTTCTCAGCTGATCCATTCATCAAATGAGAAGGAGTGTCTTGCCTGGAGCAGCCTATTGCTCCATGGAGGGCTAGTAGAAGAAGCTATCCTTCTGCTTTATTGACAGCCATTTCCACATCCTGCCTTGGAATAACCAGTAGACCTGGGAAGTAAAAGAAGGTGGAGACTGTTGCTGACATGTGTCTTGCTTAATGATTCACCTGTGGAGATGGTTAGCAGCATCAAATTTCTGGGTCTGTAGCTAATGAGTAGGCTGGCTTGGTCACTCAACATCGAGACACTGGTGAAGTGGGCACAGCAACACCTGCATTTTTTTGCATCACATGAGAAAAGTACATCTTCCTTACCACTTTCTATAGAGAGACGATTGAGAGCATCCTGTCATATTGCATTGCAGTCTGGTTTGGAAGTGTTACTATTTCAGACAGGAAGGCGGTGCAGAGAGTGGTAAGGATGGCAGAAAAGATTACTGGCAGTTTCCTTCCTTCTATCCAGGACATAGCATATAAGCATTGCTTGAGCAAGGTCCGCAGGATTGTCTAGGATGCTACACATCCTCTTCACGACCTGTTTTCCTTGTTACCTTCTGGGATGAGACTCCGTAGTATCCAAAGCACAACATCCAGATTCAGTCAGTTTTGTTCCTTATAGTATCAACCTTGTGAACTCTCAAGCTTCTTCTTTCCACTATGCATTCAAGATGGGCAATGATTAATATTTATAAGTATTTATATGTAAGCGTGTAGGTATATATATATATGTATATAGCATGTTTATATATATATTATGTATGTGTCCACTTTTCAGAATTTCATTTTTAACGTGTGCCAATGTGCCTGCAGTTAAAAAAAAATGACACTATTTCCCACAGTGCCCTGGATATAGTACAATACTATACTACAGTAGTACTTCTGCAGTATTGTCAGAAATTGATGTGATGGCTTACTACTGCATCCACATTCCATGTGGATGCAATAGTAAGCCATCACCTCAATTTCTCACAATGCTGGTTAGTATGAATCTTTCTGGAGACCTGTCAGATAGTTCCCTGGAAAATAAACTAGTTCTGACCATCAGTGCAACAATCACAGACAGTGTTCTACACAGTGGGTCATATCTTCATTGAGAATAGTCCTCTAACTCAAACGATCAGATGCAAAAAAATCCATCCTGGGTCAGAAGGAGGAGTTAAAATGATAGAGCTGGGGGTCGCCTCCACTTCCTAGACAGAAAGAAGGCAGCGTATGAAGCTTGGAGGGACATTGAATTGGGATGGGAACTTCCGGTCGGCGGAGGGAAGGGCGTGCGCATGCGCGAGCGCGCAGGTGGAGGCAGAGAAGCTGCCTGCCTTTCCAGCAGCTGGGAGTGGTATAGGGGTGGGTGGGGCTGGGTCCCTAATATCCCAGCCTTCCGCAGCCCCCTGCCCAAGAAAAAAGCGGGCTGGGTGGATAGAAGAGCTGGATCCCACCCCCCCACACACACCGCAAAGAAATATTTTTTGTGCGTGAGTACTGTAGGCTTTTCCCAGCACAAGAGCCTTGCAAAAGCCAGAGTTTGGGCACCAGCTAGAAAATTGGGGGTGGGCGAGGGGGAAATTCTTGGTCCCTCCGTCCAGGGGCGTGTATGTGTGTGTGTGTGCGTGCGTGTGTGTGTGTGAGAGAGAGAGAGAGAGAGAGAGAGAGATTGATTGAAAATGGAGAGAGCGCTCTCTCTCTCTCTTTCTCTCTCCCTCGCTCCCTCTTTCTCTTTAAGAAGAGACTGGACAGCCACTTGTCTGAAATGGTACAGGGTGTCCTGCCTGAGCAAGGGGGTCGGATTAGATAGAAGACCTCCAAGGTCCCTTCCAATTCTATTATTCAGTATTGTATTCTTTCTCTCAACAGGGGTGATGGTACAGGGCAGAACCAACCTTGGGATCCTGGGAATTCCCATGGCTTCTTGTCAGATAGGAGGGCAGCTTGTCAATGCACGCGTGGGATGGAGGGGCTGCCCCGTTCGATGCCGGTCAGTACAACTCGCCTTTCTGTGTAGTTGCCCCAAAGAGGAGGGTGAACTGCTCCTGAGTAATTAGCACACGCTATTATGGCATCATCATTCTTGGAGACAGGAATTGCAGAAGTGGCACTATAGCAGTTGGTAAGAGATTGAGAAAAGATGCACCAAGAGACTTTTTGTGAAATGGGCAGGGGGATTGGAGGGACCCTAGTGTACATGCTCCATTGTGCAAGCCTGAAGGAGGCCACGTCTGTTGCCAACCCCCTGAAGTTAATGTGAGGGGAAAAATCTTCAGGCTCCACCTAGAGGACGGATGGACATCAATTAATTAAACATATATATATCTTATATCAGTAGAAGAGAATATGTGTAGTTCAGGATTGAACGGTGGAATCCATGGTGCTTTTTGAGCTTGATTGTTTTCTTGCAGACATTTCATTACCTAACTAGGTAACATCTTCGGTGCTCAAAGGGAGGGTTTCCCCCTCTTATTTCTGTACAGCTAGGCCTCAACTTATAGCCATTCATTTAGTGACCATTCAAAGTTACATTGGCACTGAAACCGTCATAAGTGAGTCAGTTGCCAAGTGCCCAGGTTTTGATCACATGGCCATGGGGAGGCTGCAGTGGTCAGAAGTGTGAAAAACAGAAGCCACTTTTTTCAATGCCGTTGTAACTTGGAGCAGTCACTTAAAAAAAATGGCTGTAAGTCGAGGACTACCTGCAGCCCATCTTCAATCCCAACTAACTTTCCGGGTTGTTGAAAGGATAAAAGCAAAGGAAGGAATTCATGTTAAAAGTAAAATAAAAAAATAAAAGATAAATAAGCTTTTTAAGAAAGAGATTGGTACAGATAGTAGAAAGCTTGCTCCAAAATTCAACTTTGAGATTGGAAGCAAATTTTTTATGCTGGTCAGAGGTGGCTGGAATATATTTACCTTTTATGAAGCTTGGAGGTAGACCTTGATGACCGAGTGAGGATTTGAATTTGGTTGTCTCTGGTCTTTATCTCCCACTCTTGCCACTATGTTGCCCTGAGTTGGGCAATGGTCCATCCATTCCTGCATCCCAGAAGATGGCCAGCTAAAGATGCTTGTGAAGAGGAAAGAAGAAGAGGGCTGGTCAATAGAACAGGGGGATGAGCACATTTGACAGCTTATTTCTTTCTCTTTCTTGGGCGGGATTTCCTGGAGGGATATCCAGCATGATTTCTTTGATGGAACAAAGGGAAAGACTGCAGGTTGTGAATGAAAACCTGGGCCAAGAACCAGAAGAAAAGGAAAGCAAACAAGATGCCCACGCAGGTGAGTGGATAACGAAACTGTGAATTGAATGAATGAATGAACGAATGAATGGTATCTACATGCTATTGACGGTAGAGACACGAAATGGAGTTTAAAACATTTATTGAATTATTTGTTTGTATGTCCTGTTTAGACCCCATCCATTCCTCTCGGCAATTGAAAATATAAACATTTTAATAAAAAAACCCCCACATATTTATTCCTTTATAATTTTGGTGGGTCTTGCTAGAGGCTGGAAGGACTACAGAGAATGAAGACTGGGAAGAAGAGGAAGATGAAGAAGAATCTCTAGTTGCCAATGAGAGCCAGGATCCCAAAGGTCCACTTTGAGGTCCCCCCACAAGTCCTGGACTGGGAGGAGGCGTGTGAGGCTCTACACAGCAGGAGTGTCCAGGATGGGGACAGGAAAACCAGTCCCCAAGGGGAAAACACCGCCAGGGGGAGACATTCCTGAGGTAACCAATATTATTGTCTCAGCTTCCGTCGTGCGGGTACGATCTCCCCCCCCCCCGATTCTTTTGACTGCTGATTGCGGGAAGCGATTTACTCTGAGTTCCCACCTGATCCGGCACCAGTGGGAACACATTGGAGAGAGACCTTTTGGGTGCCGATCCTGCACCAAGAGCTTCTCTCAGAGGTTGGACTTGGTGCGCCACAAGCGTACACATGCTGGGGTCAAGCTGTACTTGTGCACCCTTCTCGGAGAATTCCCATCTCATCCGCCACCAGATGATCCATTCCGGGGAGAAACCTTTTAAGTGCAACGTGTGTGGCAAGCATTACGGGGACAGCTCCTACCTCACGGTGCACCAGCGAGACCACATGGGGGCTTGGCCTTACCACTGCACTCTCTCTGTGGCAAAGGCTTGGCCGATCCTCACCTCTCATTCGTCACCAGCAAGTACAACAGGGACCCAGCACCTCTCCCTGGAGTCAGACCTCGTCCCCGGGACGTTTGGACAGCATTTGCCTGCCTATCGGGGGATGGGGACTCAGAACAAATTCTCTCTCCTCAGAGGACATCCACGTCACGGGCGCCATCCTTTGCATCATCCGCGCTGTCCCTGCCGCCCCCTCCCTGGATTGACCCTTGTTCCATGAGGATTTTGGGATGGCAATGGGGGATAGAATAAAAAAGGGCAGTCAAATGGCAGAGAAGCATAATGGAGGTGAACCTGCTGGAAGAACACAGGATTGGGTGTATAGTGGAGATCACCTTGATTGCTAAGGCGATCCGATGGAGGAATAACTCTTGATTTTGTGACAGCTGATGGACCACACCAGAAAGATCGACGGAGGGTGGAAGAAGCTCTTGGCTGAGATTATTTTGTAGTTGGAAATGATGAGAGTTAGACAACTGGAGGGTCTTTGGCTTATTCAAGTTGATTCCATATAATTGATTATTAGAACGGCACAACAGGATCGTATTCCAAAGCCATGGATCAATTCCCCGAGTTACAAAATTGAGTCCCTTGGTTTGGTTGGGGTAATTAACTGCCGCGAGAGGGATGTGTTGATTGCTAAGGTAATCTGTGGGGCAATAATTTGGTTTCTGAAGCAGCACTGAAAAAGAAGAATGTTGTTGACCCATCAGTTGAATAGGATATTTGCTTCCTAGGGCCAGAATAGGGTTTTTTTTGGCAGCAGGTAACTGAGAAAAGAATGTTGCCTTGGTATCCAGGTAACTAAAATCATGGAAATCTTTAGTAAACCTTTGATTGTTGAAAGAGGAAGATAAAAAAAAATGGCTATGTCATTGTACGTGATTGGTTGTCATGGTAATAGAAGAACATTACATGGGTTGATGGCTAATGAAGTAGAAAGCAAGGAATCTGACAACTAGCTTTATTTAGCTGCTTCACCAAAGGTAGAACTTAATTGATTGAGATGAAGTCCATCAGTTTCTGTGGTTGTGCTTACAGAAACATCAGCCTATGCTTAATGCTATGTTTGCTGATTTGGGATCCAAATGCATCTTGGAAATTGTCTGCTTTAACCAGTTTATTATAGGCATCTATCCCAATCTGGAGCCTTCCAGGTGCATAGCTCTACAACTCCCATCGCTCTAGGTCAGCATGGGCAGTCGCTAAGTTGCCCAAATAAAATAGAAAGTCAGGGGAAAGCTATACTACACAGTTGTCAGGCTACTTCTGTTTGTATCTAGATTTCACCACTTTTGACTGGCCTTTTGGTGACGGTTAGGCTCATGAGAAGGGAGAAGATAAATGATCATTCAACTCTGGTATTGTCTACATCAGAGTTCCTCAACTTTTGGGGGTTGGCAACCCAGAGTGTGGGGAGGGGGGGAAAAGGGATGGTTTTATGCGGGGGTGAACATCTGCAACATTCGCGCGAGCGGGGCACAAACATGATGCTCGTGTGAGTGGGGCCGCGAACACCCACAATGCTTGTGATGCTCGCGCAAGTGGGGCCATGAACGCCTGTGATGCTCATGATACGCGAGTGGGCAGCAAACATCCACGATGCTCATGACACACAAGTGGGGCTGCAAACACCCACGATGCTCTTAGTGACACTCGCGCGAGTGGGGCTGTGTGTGTGTACACAAATGCGCACACCAGCCAGCCACAGAGGAAACGCAGTGGTCAATAGGCCGTGGCCCGGTAGTGGTTGGGGACCCCTGGTCTACATTGCTTGGTGGTAGATCTTCAGGGAGGTTTTTTTTCCTTGACTGCAGAGTCCATGGTGCTCTCCGAGCTTGGTTGTTTGCTTGCAGATGTTTCGTTACCCAACTAGACAACATCATCATCCTCCCGGTAGTTCAAGCTAAACTGTGCATGTTCTCTTCTGTTGGAACTTTTCTTGACTTCTTCCTGGACGGGTCATGGATTGCAAGGAGGAAGACTTTCTACCCTGCCCTGCCCTGCAGGATTCCACAGTTATGTGATAAGATTGTACGTGCAGAGTTGCGTAAACCTACAGAGAGGGTGAGGAGGATACTATTGTGCAGGTTGTCCTCGGCTTGTGACCACAATTGAGCCCCCCTATTTCTGTTGCTAAGCAAGACATTTTCTAAGTGAGTTTTGCCCCATTTCACAACCTTTCTTGACACCGTTGTCAAGTGAATCGGTGCAGTTATAAGTCAGTAACATGGTTGTTAAGTGAATCTGGTTTCCCCGTTGAGTTTGCTTGTCAGAAGGTTGCAAAAGGTGATCGCATGACTCCGGGGTACTGCGACCGTCATAAATATGAACCAGTTGCCAAGGGTCTGAATTTTGATCAGGTGACGATGGGGATGCTGCAATACAAAGAATGGCTACGGGACTTGGGTTTGGTTAGTCTAAAGAAAAGAAGAAATAAGGAAGACATGATAGCGGTGTTCCAATATCTGAAGGGCTGCCACAAAGCAGAGGGTTCCAGGTTATTCTCCAAAGCACCAGAGGGCAGGACGAGAAACAATAGTTGGAAACTGACCAAAGAGAGAAGCAACCTGGAATTAAGGAGAAACTTCCTGACAGTGAGGACAATCAACCAGTAGAACAGCTTGCCTCCAGAGATCATGGGTACTCCATCACTGGAGGTTTTTAAGAAGAGACTGGACAGTCACTTGTCTGAGATGGTATAGGTCAGACATGTCAAACACAAGGCCCAGGGGCAGGATGTGGCCCGCGAAGTGGTTTCATGTGGCCTGTGAAGCCATCCTGGAAACAATGAGGGAACCGCCCCCTCTGCCTTGGCCCTGGACCAGGCTGGCGGGAGCCAATGTACAATTTTGTGGTGGCCGTCTATGTTGAAACGCATTCAGTCTTAGCTCCACAAGGCCGTCTAGAAACAGCGAGGAACCAGCCCCTGCTGCATCGCCCTCGCCCCCTGGGTGCATGCTGGGGAGGTGTCACCCTTTGTGAAGAATGAAGAAATGCACCATCGCCTGGAAGTGGCCAGCAAATGGCCCTCGCCTACTTCACCTATCCAGCTTGATGGGCTCCAGGAGAGGGGTTTCGGTAGGCAGCGGAGCGCTTTCCTCACAGCGCTGAGAGGCTGAGCTAGGCGGCACAAATTCAAAAAGAGTGAGACTACCCAGCTCCCAGCCTGCCCAGTTTCGGCAGGCAGCGGGGCACTCTCCTCCCAGCGCCAAGAGCTGAGCCGGGGCGTGAATCTGATGAGAAGTGCAATGCTGCCTAGCCTCCAGTCTGCCCAGTTTCAGCAGGCAGCAAGGTGCAAAGCTGACGAGCTTTGCACCGCCCAGCCAACCTCTTGGCGCTGTGAGGAGAGCGCCCCGCTGACTGCCGAAACCAGGCAGGCTGGGGGCTGGGTGGCATTGCACAGGTAATGTTGACTCTCATGCTGCTCATGGCATCCCCTCCCCCAGAGCCCACCAAGCCAGATATGTGAAATAGGTGAGGGCCATGTGCTGGCTACTTCCAGGTGATGGTGCATTTCTTCATTCCTCACGAAGGGTGACACCTCCCCAGCTGCGTTTCTTGCCTGTTTTTTCCCCTCCCTCATCTCAAATATTTTTCCACCACTCTGTACTTAAGAAGGAAGGAAGGAAAGAAGAAGAGGGAGGGTCTTAGGGAAGTCCTGCCTTAGTCTTGCCCTGATGCCTTTTCACCATCCCCTTGCCCCCTCCTCCTGGCCTATCCTGGGGTCTCCCATTCTATTGCTAAGGAAGCTTTGGATACAAAGCGAGGTCTCTTCCCATGGAGAGGGAATGGGCCTCCCTCTGACTTTGCCCTCATACCCATCATGAGCAACCTGGGTAAGGAGAGCAAGCACAGCAGCAACAGCCTTGAGTAGGAGGTAAGTGCAGCTGGGCACCCCCTTGGGGAAACGGGGCTGGGCTTGGTGCCACGGATGCTCGAGGGCCAGGCTGGGCATTTGACCTCTGCTGCCCAGGGCTCCGGGCAGCCTGTACTACCATCCAGCCCCTCCCCTGCATGGCCTGAAAGGAACAGTGAGGCTCCTCCAGTGGACCATGCCTTGGCACTTGCCCTGGTTCCACCCCCTTCTGCCAGAGACCTTCAGATCTGTCCCACTCCTGCCCAGGCCCCCACAGGCACCCTTGATGCGAATGATGTAGAGGTGGCCACGCCCACCCAGTAGGCCACACCCACTCTATCCATGCCCACCCAGTAGGCTGCACCCACCCTGGCCACACCCACCCAGCTCCCCAAGGGCAACCGCAATGCTGATGAGGCCCTCAATGAAATTGAGTTTGACACTCCTGATCTAGCAGATTGGGAGTTCATGAGCCAGATGTTGTGCAGCTGGCCCACAAGGGGGCAGCACTCAGATACAGTATCACAGCTAGGAGATGTTTCATGCAAGCTGTATAATCTGCAATAGCAAAACAAAACAAAAAAAAAGGCATTGTTACTGAATGAAAGCCCCGCTGTCTCTGAATGCTAACCGTGCATTTCTTCCCATTGAAGTCATAGAGGGTGGGTGGAAATTGTTTGGATGAGCTTCAGGTTATGAAGTCAGCGGGAACGCTGTGACTATTTCAGTTCCCAGGAGGAAGAATCATTTGTTTTTGAGATGAGAGGCTGCATAAAACTGATAAATAAATAAACAAGGGAGTGGCCCATCCACCACAGCAACCGGATTGATTTTACTTAGCAACTTCTTTAGCTCCAGCCATTGTAGGCCTGTAGTTTAGCCCACTTTAAAAAAAAAAAACTTACCAATTTTAAGATGAATGGACTTCAACTCCCAGAATTCCTCAGCAATGTGCTGGCTGGGATTTGAAGTCCATCTTCAAATCGACAAATTTGAAAAACTGGTTTGGCCTATTGGGAACCAGGATTTGAATCAAACCATGATTAGGCAACGTATGCTCGGGTGCAGTGTGGGAACATGGCAAAGGTATAGTGCAGGGGTAGGCAACCTTGTCTCTTTTATGACTTGTGGACTTCAATTCCCAGAATTCCTGAGCCAGCAGGGCTAAGCATGGAAACCTCTCCCTTTCCCCTCAGCATGGCTGGCTCAGGAATTCTGGGAGTTGAAATCCACGAGTCATAAAAGAGCCAAGATTGCCTACCCCTGGTATAGGGTATTCTCCATTTTGAAATATCTGGCATGATGTACAAACAGAGAAAAAGGTAAGACTAAAGCTGCTGGAACAGGTAGAAAAAGCATTCAGAGCATCATAGTCACTCAGATCTAGCTAGGATATAGTTAAATGTTGGTTAAGGGGCAGTGAGACCCAGTTTCTAATCACCCTCCAGTCTCAGAAGCTCCCTGGAGAACTTTGGACCACACACCATCTCTCAGCTCAACCTACTTCACAGCTTCGTTGCAGATAATTGCAGGTGACCAGAATGAATAGTAGCACTTAGCACTTAGACTTGTATACCGCTTCACAGTGCTTTATAGCCCTCTCTTAGCGGTTTACAGAGTCAGCATATGGCCCCCAACAATCTGGGTCCTCCCAAAGGTGCTTTATTTGAAGAGGCAAGTGGACTTCCTTGTCTTTCTTGGAAGATGTTTCGCTTCTCATCCAAGAAGCTTCTTCAGCTTTGACTGGGTGGTGCTGTCAGAGCTGAAGAAGCTTCTTGGATGAGAAGAGAAATGTTTTCAAAGAAAAACAAGAAAGTTCACTTGCCTCGTGAAAAAAAAAAAAAACCCATGACCTGGATGACTGAGAATCTCCGCAGACAATCTGGGTCCTCATTTTACCAATCTCGAAAGGATGGAAGGCTGAGTCAACCTTGAGCCGGTCAGAATCGAACTGCTGGCAGTTGGCAGAATTAGCCTGCCTTCTAACCCCTGTGCCATGATGGCTTTTAGGACAATTATTCACCTGCTGATAAATTCTCAGATCTAAAGTATACCCATCACCGGAAGTGCCCTTAATTCAAGCTTTACGCTTAAGCAGGAGGAGATGACTAGCTTCCCTTTTTCTGGACATTTTTCTAGAGAATTTTTTTCTGGGTGTTGTGTCAGCCATGCCGGAGTGATCCTGAAGAATCTGATTGTTTCACCCCTCCACAATGTTCATCCTTCTGCTTCTCTTCTTGGTTCAGCCGCGCTGTCGCGGCCAAGTTCTTCTGCACGGGTTGGCATTTAGCAAAATGCAATTTGCTTTGACTCCCTCCAGGGTCCTGAATTGGAGCTTGAAACCCAGGTCAGATTCTGTGCAGTTTAGTTGTTAACGATTTCACACATTTCCTGCTGGCTTAGACCTGGGCCAGGCACTCCTGGTCTTGTAAGCGTCAAATTTTCAGCAGAGCATCCACGCAAGTGCCAATGCATCAGTAGGTTGAGTTAGGCCAGTGATGGTGAACCTTTTAGAGACTGAGTGCCCCAAAACCACCCCCGCCCGCCCCCAGCTGGCCCACTCTGCCCCCTGCCCTGCCCGCAGGGCCACCCACTGCCTCTATGGCCTGCCACAGATCACCTAGGTCAGTGGTGGTGAACCTATGGCACGGGTACCAGAGGCGGCACTCGGAGCCCTCTCTATAGGCACACGTGCCGTTGCCCCAGCCTTGCCTCCCCCCCCGTGACCCCCTCTCCAGCAGCCCCCCCGAAGGAGAGTTGCCCCTGAGCGTGGCCCACACGGAGCAGCGCAGCCAAGGACATGGCAGCCAGGTAGCGTAGACAAGACTCTGCCCTCACACCCCATTGTGCACAGTTGATGCTGTGGGGCACGGGCAGAGAGCGTGACTGCCATAGCGCTGTTGGGCTGCCTGGGCAATCTGCATCAGGCCCTGGAGGTGGTGAGTGGTCCTGTGGCAGGCAAGGCAGGGGAAGGGGGGGCAGAGCAGGGGTGGGACGGGGGTGGAGTGGGGGTGGGG